GTTTGGAGGTTTGGGTTTGGGGTTTTGGAGCGTATGAAACGATAAACAAAGCTAATACGTATGACAATACCTGTCTGAGATATGGGTACCACCCATCAGAGGCTGCAAGGTCAGCTGAGATGCTGGAGTGCTTTGATAAGGGTGGGCACAAGCAGTGAAGCAAGGCTCCAGATAGGTATTGTCATAGAATCATAAAATGGTTTGGGTTGGAAGGGACCTTGAAGATCATCTCATTCCACCCCCCTGCCCTGGGCAGGGACACCCCCCACCAGCCCAGGTTGCTCCAAGCCCCGTCCAACCTGGCCTTGAACACCTCCAGGGATGGGGCAGCCACAGCTTCTCGGGGCAACCTGCCCCAGGGGATCACCACCCTCAAAGTTATTTTTTTTTCTCCTGTAGGCCCACTTTAGGTACTGGAAGGCCGCTATAAAGTCTCCCCAGCACCTTCTCTTCTCCAGGCTGAACAACCCCCGACTCTCTCAGCCTGTCCTCATAAGAGAGGTGCTCCAACCCTCTGATCATCTTTATCGCCCTCCTCTGGCCCCGCTCCAACAGGTCCGTGTCTTTCCTATGTTGGGGACTCCAGAGCTGGAGGCAGCACTCCAGGTGGGGTCTTCTCAGAGCAGAGGGGCAGAATCCCCTCCCTCGCCCTGCTGGCCACACTTCTTCTGGTGCAGCCCAGGATACGGTTGGCTTTCTGGGCTGTGACTGTGCATTGCCGGCTCATGCTGAGCTTCTTGTCAATCAGCATCCCCAAGTCCTTCTCCTCAGGGCTGCTCTCCAGCCATTCCCCACCCAGCCTGGATTTGTGCTTGGGATTGCCCCAACCCAGCTGTAGGACCTTGCACTTGGCCTGGTTGAACTGCCTGAGGTTGGCATGAGCCCACCTCTCCAGCCTGTCCAGGTCCCTCTGGATGGCATCCCTTCTCATACGTGTAAGCTTTGTTCATCACTTCGCACTCTGGTGTCTCAGCTGAGCTTGCACCCTCCGGAGTCAGTGGGCATTGCTGAGACTGGGAAGAGCCCAGGTGCAGCGTTGGTCACTGTGGCATTTTACGGTTCTGGAGACCTCGGCGTGAAACACAACTTCAATTTTTCTTGGCTTCCATGCCTTTTTGTTGACCTACCACCATTTCTTACTGCTTACTGTTAGCTGCTCCCTCTCTGCCTGTGGAAGAGGGGGACTCGCGGAAAGAGGCATCTCTAAACTATGGCAGGAATTTCAGAGGGGAGGCAAGTTTCAGCTCAGGGTGACACCAGGCAGTGCCATTAAATAATGTGCTCAGTCTGTTTTATAGGCATTGGTGCTATTTGTCATTGGAGGGCTGGCTTTGTGTGCACAGCTGATGCCTGCTGTCACTTGATGACACGGATTAATTTGACTGACAAGTTTTGATGGGGGGATTCACACCGCTGGGGATGGAGACGTGCAAGGCGACACTTTTAAAAAGCAGTTTTAGCTGGCAGAACTTCATAGGAAACACCAGGCTGAAGTTCTGTCACCAAACATTGCACTATGCTGTTCTTTTGTGGTTGTTCAGTACTTACGGTTCACGTATCCAGAAAATGTGCATATGGGGGTTGTTTCAGTTTGATCTTTTTTTTTTTAATAAATTGAATGTTAAAGTGTTTGAAATTGCAGATGCTCATTTATTTTCAAGGACAAACAATGAATGTTGTGTTAGTATCCTAAAAATATTGATGCACTTAAAATAAAATTTTACAGTTATGTCCTTTCTGGGTAAGTTTTAAGAAGGTTTTTGCTGTAGGAACATGCTTTCAGTGCAATATTTGCTTCCTCTAAGTAGTTAGTCTAGCTTGTGAGGATAACCTCTGGCCAAAATTGCAAATTTCTATTCCTCCTTTTTGGTCTGATTTTCCATCTGTAACAAAAGGTCTGTAGAGGCACCGATGGCTGCTACGCTTGCGTTTTCTTTGTGGAAGCCGTTCTGCTGAGGTAGCCCGAGTATTGCTGCAACTTTGGACTGCAAAACTAAATAGTGAAGCCAATTATCAGAGAAGATGCTTAATTGCACACATGAAATGGGGTTTATCCTGCTGTAGTATTGCTGTCAGCAAACCTTGTAATTTTGGAACAGCTGCTCTCGCAGAACACCATCACATTGGTAGTGAGTGACCGTTCTGTTCTGCTTCGGTCTGCTAAGTAGTCTTTAAAACACTCAGTCCCAAAGGGATTTAGTGGCAAAGTAAAATTCTGTAGAAGTACTGATTATGATATTGCCATGATTATGAAGTACATTTTGCTGGGGTTTATATGCAACATAAAAATCTAAAAGCACTTATCTTTGAATTTAGTTAAAATATTAAATTGTCAGGTTAAAATTAAATCCGAAGGCAGAAAATGCGATGTATAAAAATATTTAATTTACTGCTTATAAGCTATTTTAATAGAACCGCAATATTTATATGTGAGTAAAATAACATGGCTCTAATAAAAACTTAAAAGGAAAGCACAAATATATTAACTGATAAGGCTTAATGTTTAGAATGATATGCTGCAGATATTAATTCGGAATACATTCTTTTGATAGAGCAGTCTGGTTTTCCTTGGCCGCTTCTGTGTTCTTTCTTCATTCTTCCATGCCATTTATTTTTTTCCAACGCTTGCTGTGGTGTTTAGATTTCCTGAAAAATCTAGCAGAGAAAAATATTTTAAAAAGTGTGTTGAATGAAGAGATGGTTTTCCTTTAGAGTCCTAAAGACTTTTTTTTTTTTCTTGGAACATCCATGTGAAATATTTAATGGCACGCAAGTCCTTGAGCAAATCTAAACTAGGGCTGTGACTTAAACCTGGAGTAACTGAACAAACTGGACAGAAGCCATTTCTTTTTCATCATTTACAACATTACGCTTCAAGAGTTGTTTCTATTTTTGGCTCTTTTAAATACTTATCACATCTGTTAGTCCAGTGCTGTTCTTCCCATATGAAAACTGGTACATAACGCTCTACAAGATAGCAAGAATTAGTGCTCATCTGTAGAAGACACTGCTGCTCAGTATTTTGTACGTGGAGTCTTTTTTTGTATGTGACTGAGACGGTGTTTGTTGACTAGAATCTGGACTTAATAGGCTATTACACCTAATCAATCTTGTTTTTCTTTATAGAAAAGGCTACAAATGAATATAACACCAGCGAGGACTGGGGGCTTATTATGGATATATGTGACAAAGTTGGAAGTACTCCTAACGGGTAAGCTGTATCTCAGCATTACAACATCTAATTTCATGTTCATGTGAGGAAGAATACTGTTTCAGAGAGAACGCGTCTCAAAATGCTCAGCGTAGTCAGCTCTGCAAAAAGTGCTACCAATCTGACACTTCTGCGAGCTCTACAAATATATGTAGTTGGCTTTAAAACTCTTTGAAAGAAATGTTCCAACAGGATTTCTAGTAGAGCAATTTGTATATGCTGACTGCATTCCAATTTTTATGGAGTTTTGCACAGTAGACCAAGTTGTTCATATTTAATGATCTTGCGTGAATTTGGAGAAGCAAGTGTGCCAGCAGGAAAAAGTGAACTAGTTTCTTTGCAGAAAATTGTCTAGCTGGGGCAGTTAGCGGTTTATGATGAGAAATGTGTCTGTTTATTCGTTAGGAACAATGGGACTGATGGAGGAGAAAAGGGGAAAAATTTGGGATCAAAACAGATCAATTTGTTTAGCCTGAGTCGTAACACTGAAACATAAGTGGTAGTTCAGTGACCCTATAATGGCCAAAAGTATTTGCTGAATTTTAAGGTAATCTTTTTGAGTGATGTTTTAAGTTTTGAAGTAAACCTGAATTAGTGCGTAGGCTGAATTCTTAAGAGATCTTGGAATTTTTGTCAGTTATAAGTAATGTTTAAGATTACTATACTATTCAATCTGGGAATCTTTAGTCCTGAAGGGAACTAAAAAGTGTAGAATGTCCTTTGAGTCCTTTCTTAAAAATCGTTTGTTGGGGGTTTTTTTGGTTTGGGTTTGGTTTTGGTTTTTTTTTGTACAGGGGACTGTTTTAAATCCACTTGTTTTAGGGAAGAGAAGATTGTCAAAAAAAAAAAAAAGTAGAATCTTAACATATATTTTTGTACATACAATAAAATCCTACATTCTGAATTTTAACTGCCACTGTTGCTTGCATATTTTAGTTCAGTTTTGTGTAGTTTTCTTCCCTCCCACCCTTCACTAGGACCCATCTTCTGAAAATAATAAATATTGTTGCTTACCCTTAAATATATATATAGCTTAACAAGTATGTTGACTTTGTTGGCTTGTTTGTGTATTAACTGTGACCAAACATACTCAATGTTAGGACTAAACTCCTACTTCTCTTGCTAGGTGTACCTCACCGGCTAACTCGGCACGATAGGGCCGGAGTGGTAAACCGGAGCGGTGGGTACTGAAGCCACTGCATCCGTTCAGTTTGCAGCTCAGGGTGTTTGGGATTTTTTCCCCGCTTCACAACAGGTTTAATCTCTTCTCCTAAACTTAATATCCACACCAGCATCGGCGCAAATTTGTCTGCAGATCCTGTCGCTGGCTCCGCCTCTGACAGCTCCTGGAGAGGTTGGAGCGCATTTGGTGTGCACAGAGGAGCTTCTGACTTAGATTTCTTCCAAAAGGAAATGAATTTGCGTGCACAAAACTCCACTGTGAACTAAATGTGCAACATATGGGAATGATTAGAAAATTCGTTTCAAAACCAGAATAGTGCTCTAAACCAAAATGAGAATATTAGATGCAGTTTATTACCTTGTTTAATATAGTGGCATAAAATCTTTCTCACTACTGTACACTCAATACATTGCAACAGACGTCTTTTGAAACAAAACGAAACCTTGCAACAAACATTGTTTTTCAAATTAACAGTGAAACAGTTTTGGTTTCCTTTCTGCACAGGCTTTTTTTTAAGCTTTGCCCAAGGTTGCAATTCCATGACGACGTTAAATTGTCAGGAGAGAGAATTTGCATTGAAGAGGGTTGTCAGATATTTCCTCTAACCCCTTGTGCGGTGGATTCCTGGTGAATCTGATCTTGGCAGTGATCTGGCTGAAGACTAACCTGCTCAGCCAGATCAGTTCCTTCATCTGGGCAATGCATGGCTGCTGAAGCCTCGGGAAGGGAAGGGGACTGCATTGCCATAGGAAGGGACGGTAGGTGTTGGGTCTAGTACTTTCATCAGTGACTTTCACTTGTGCTCGCGTGAAGCGATCGCTGGGCGACGTGGAGAAACGCAGCCTTGCGAAGACATTTCTGTGCTTTGGTAATACAGCAACTCAAGCGTACTGCACGTGATATTAGTTGTAAAGATACTGCATCGGCTCTTTACGTAGAGATTTCATGTTTTTAGGGGGTTCAAAATAAGAGTGATAATGGAGCTTTACATATGCCTAAGCCCATGTAGCTGGTGCATGCTGTTAATGCTCATTTTAAGCATAAAACTCCTTAGTAGAGTAACATTGAGAGTGCTAATCATTATTCTATACTTATCTCAGATTTTGCTGAAACAAATTATAAAATCTTTGTGTCCTTAGTGTCTTGAAAACGGGATCCAAGAGCTGACAACCTGTGAGCAGGGTTTTTAAATTAAATCCATAGAGACCCTTTACAGTAGCCAGTAAAATAACCATTTATTTAATCATCACTGCTCCTCATTCTTTTTCTGTAGACATTTCTTTCATTGTCTATTTCAAATCAAGTTGCTTGACTCAATGGCAATTGCTCCTTTTATGACCTGTCAGCAGTTTTATGGAAATTAATACAAAATGCCAGTGTAAAAATGGAGTCTGTTCCAATCCAATACACATCTAAGAACAAACAAGCTGTTAAATATTTTTTCCAGAGTAGCTCTGGGAAAAGTTTAGGTTAGGTTACTTTTTTTCCATCGACCCAGTTTTGTTTGCTTACCCAGCTTGAGTATCTGGTATCATTCATTCTGCAGATCATGTCAGTCACATTTATCCCTAATAGTTTCTTTGTTTCTTTTTCAGAGCAAAGGATTGCCTTAAAGCCATCATGAAGAGAGTAAACCATAAAGTTCCCCATGTGGCTTTACAAGCGCTTACAGTGAGTAAACTACCACTATTTTCAATAAACTGTCTATTCTTTTATGTAATGCAGCTGTTACAAATGTGTACTGATCAATTAATACCTTTATATATCTTCAGCAGAAGTCAGTGAGAGTGTGCATGCTGAACAGAGGATTAAATTTAACTCTTTATGGATGCTTTTATATTGGATTATTTTCATTGTTGTCATACATTTTCACAATTGTATTTCTGTTGTCAGCTTTTAGGAGCCTGTGTATCAAACTGTGGAAAAATATTTCACTTAGAAGTATGTTCTCGTGATTTTGCTAGTGAAGCTCGAAGTATAATAAATAAGGTAATTTTTTATAACCTTAAGTACCGGGGGAGGATTATTTTGGTAACTTCTTTGCCTTGTCTCAACATAGCAAAGAATTGGCACAACTGATGTTCTAGTTAATACGCATTTTCTAGTTTGGGTGCAATTGCAGATACTGCTGGCTGTTTGGGTACTTTGATTTTTACTATGAAAATACAATGTATTAACAGAGTGACAGGCTGATAATACCTACTCCAAATTTTTACAAAATTACATGAGCAATTTTAATTAAAATCTGTGACTCTTCCTAAGCTCAATTAATTTGATAATGGTGAAGGCAGCTTTTCTTGAAGAGAGTTTTTATTTGGCTTGAATGAAATTCATGGGCTGAAGTGCAAAGGGAAAATGGTGAGAAAGTTAAACTATGTTTTTACAAGGAAAAGGATGAAGTCTTCAGACAACTTTATTAGTTTCTAGACGCTCTCAGAATGCCGAATGAGGAGGTAACCAAGGAAGGAAGACCTTAGTGGTCAGGATCAAGCAGCGATGGGATCTAAATCTGGTTGTAATGAATTGAATAAGCAGCAACAGCTTTCCCCTAATTACTGCTCCAGTTGAAGACAAAAATGGCTAATGTGTTAAAAAGAAGTTAGTCTCCAAATATATGGGAGGCCTGGAATCATCAGAGGTGGAGCAAAGCAATTAAGGAAACTAATAAAATTGCTGGGAAGCAAAATGAGTTCACAGCTCTTCTGTTTCTCGCTTTGTGTGGAAAAATAGGTCTTAAAGTCCTCCCCTTTGTTCTCATTAGCCATGGTCCATTCTGAAATAGAACATTGACCTTCATGGTCTGACAGCACTCGTGGATGTAAAAACAAGCCTTTAATCCCACTGAAGAATGGTCTGCTGGAGCATATTTTATTTTGTTGTTGGGACATACTTGTATTTTACCCCCATCCCTGGCCCACTTGGAGGAATAACCTTTGGAGGGCTGATAAAATTGTACTTTCTCCCTTTTCTCCAAAAGAAAGTTAGTTCAGACAAGTGTAACAAATGTCTTTGTGCTGACGCTGAGCCTGTCAAGCTACATCTCTTCTTTCGGTTAAATGCATGAGCCCGAACTTGTCAACGTTCTTGCTGTTCAGCATATGTTTACGTGTGAGGCACAGGCTTCCAGTGTGATCTGAACTGCACTCAAACGAGAGATGTTGGCCGCGCGCTGCAGTTGTGCAGCCCCAGGCTCTTACCCAGGCAAGCCAAACGCAGCAGATGTGGGTGAGCCCAGCAGCCCCAGAACCCTTACTCCCCAGCAGGTAACCGGACACTAGTTAGGATCCTTTGGGTTCAAACTGTAGTCTCTTCATCAACTGTCAACAAAACCGGAAAGCGTATGGAGTCTGAAGTGCTTTGGTCCATGTTTTACCCTCATAGCGTTGGCATGACCTTCCCATGTATTAGCTGCTCTATTGAAGCGTTCTTTTTTGCTCCAGTAATCTTTTTAAGGGTATTGCAGCATGTATTAGCTGCTCTATTGAAGCGTTGTTCTTTTTTGCTCCAATAATCTTTTTAAGGGTATTGCAAGAGTAACAGCAGCTGATGTTTAATGTGACTGAGGTATACTCTGAAGGGTATTCTTCAACCATACAGTAGAGTGATGCTTTTCTGAAAGTGGATTATCACTTTGGGTGAGGTTGTTGGCACATAAAATTTGCAGTGTTGAGTGAAATCAGCGGTCCTACGTAGATCTAGAGTAGCCGTAAATCCTGTGGATGAGGGTGGAGGAAGGGGAGCTGTAGAGGCTCTTCTGTGCAAGAGGCTAGAGAAGAATGTGGGAGGCAGAGCATGAACTTGATCTTGGTTTGCCCCCATTGCAAGAAAATGTCGTCCTTTACCAGACTGTGTCCCTGCACCCCAGGTCCTAATTTGGGAGCTAATAGTATAAACGGTCCCACGAGCTGGGTGACACTGTACATATTGCGTAATTCCTTTTTGTGAGAGAATCTGAACCAAGGAGACGTGTATATATGTATGTGTATGCAGAGATGGTACAGAGATCGGTTTTTGAGAAGTGAACAGGGAGAAGTGTGTTCTGGCATCTGAGAAGAAGACAGCAGAGCTCATAAAAGGTAGTGAAGGGCTATTGTCTTGTAGGGAAAGACAGCGTCTTCTATTAGACCAACTTACGTGGATGGGAGGGGAATAACAATACAAATTAGAACTAATGAAGAGAAAATTGTGGTAAAATGGAGGGTAACTAATGTAGAGGTGCAGAAGAGTTGGGGTAAGTGTAGTAGATGGCCTGAATCTCTCCAAAACTGTTGAGGTGGAGACATCTCAAAAGTCAAAGTTTGTCAGTCTTTTTTCCTTAACCGTTCCTTAACCCCCTAAAACGGACTTCACTAAAATAACAGCAGTATAGGTAGGTGGGCTGCCTGCAAGATCTAAGCTTTGGCTGTGCGAGGGAATCTGCCTCGGAGGATTGCTGTAAGGGTTGAAGGAGCCCTGATTTAAAATAACCAGTTGTTTGGTAGAATCAGGGAAATCTGAACTACCTGCAGTCTGTTGCTGCAGTGGAGTAATGGTGTTGGAAAGGGCTATGCCTGCTTCCCGACGAAAGGGTGATGCTCCAGAAGCTAAGCGTGCTATCCGTGATATCAGAATCATTGTATAAAAGACAATATATTCTGGGCTGTCTTTTCCAAATTTTCTTAATCAAGACAATTATTAAATATTAAGGATATTTATAGTAAAATAGTTTTGGTAACAAAGTTTTACTGAGAGGGAACAACTGTTTCTACTCCTTTTGAGGTAAAAGCATCCCTTTCTATGCAATTTTGTCTTCTAGGCTCATCCAAAAGTTTGTGAAAAACTAAAAACTCTAATGGTGGAGTGGTCGGAAGAATTTCAGAAAGACCCGCAGTGTAGCTTAATATCTGCAACTATTAAATCTTTAAAAGAAGAAGGTGTAACTTTTCCTGCAGCTGCATCACAGGTAAAAGCTGATTTGGGATACATGATACTGTTAGGTTGACTGTTCCTGGCAGCGAACAAACTGAAAAGCTGTCCAAATTAAATCTTTCTTGCTTTCGATCAGAGGAGGGTGTGGTCCTTGTTCTCGTTTGGTTGCCTCCATATGCTGAGGTTCACTTCTGTTCATTCTACTTTTCTGTCCTTGCCTTTCTAAGACAAATAAGAACAGACTAAAGGCTATTTCATTATGCCCTTATGGGTTGTTTCATTTTAGATCCTTCTTTTCTTCTGATCATTTTTAGAGCTTCATTGAGCTGTCACCGCCTTAAATCAAAGCAATTCTACACCCACACTTTGTACTTGGTGTTTCACGGTTCTAATTGCTGACTTGGAGCACATACCTTCGTGTTTCTTCACAGTCTCACATAACAAAGGGCAGTATCTGGAATTGAGACATTTTTGAAGATGATCTGTGCAATGCATTCCTTTTCCCAGTCCCTATTTCTTGTTCGTGCTGTTACCTGTCCGTGTCAGGATTTGTCCTGGCTCTGCAGTAGGTGGGGTGCTTCAATCCCTGACCTCACCCTTTGTGTTTTACTTCTGGTGGTGTATTATGCCTAATCCCCTAGCTGGCAGATGTGATGACAGGTGATTTTTTTTTTTTCTATGCTTTATTATTGATGCTTCTAATTATTTTCATGTTAATTATGAGTCAGGTGAAGATCAGTCCTCAAAATTAGAACTGCAGCTTCTATTACGTATTCCTTACATGAAGTTTACTTTTCTCTGTATTAAACATGGAGGGGTTTTTTACTTTTACAATCTTTCCTTCCCCCACAAAGATGTTTTCACTTCTAAATCTAGGATATGTGTTAAAACATATGGCAGAAACATGGAAGATCTAGAGTACTGGCAACCAATTATGCTTCCTTTCCTACAAATACATATAAAATGACATCTTGATGTTTTTACCTCATGCACTTCACTTCAAACAAGCAAAGCTGAGGTTCTCGTTATTTGGTACCCTTGTACAGCGTTGTTTCAAGGACTGTTGATAAGTTCTAGACACGGCTAGTGTCTGAAACTAGATTCTTCATTCCTTGTGTGTGCAGGAAGACTTCCTTGTCGGAATGAAAACTGTAAGAACTGTTTCACAATGCTGTTGTGGAGACTTGTGTTATTTAAGTCAGCAGCTCCCAACTTGATGTAGGTTTGCTCTTCCTTCCCGTGGTCCCGCCAGCAGAGATGGAGGGTGGCTTTTTACTCTGATACAGAGAGATCTCTCCCTTTTCAGCAAGTCCAGCTGCTGCTTAATAACTTGGGTCTTCGCAGACGTAGGACTCCAAAGAGCTTTTCTTCCCTTTTGAAGGGAGGGGTGGAGGACTGGAGGACAGAGGTGGAAAGAGCAGTCATTTAAACGAGTAGTCTCACTTTATTAAACGAGAGCAAAATAATGTTTTAAATTAGATCAGTTATTTCAGTTAGATCTGATTATTTATTTTACTTTGTTCCTTGCTGAAAACAAAATAGAAACCGGCTGAGATTCTGAAGAGTAGTATCTTTTTCTTCTAGAAGGTCGTCTTGATTTAGCAATGAAATGCTATAGTAGGGCAGCTCACCAGGAACAACTTACTACTAATTTTTTTAAGTATATAATTACAGAGTTTTCTTTTTCCTTTATAACTTTAACTTACTGTGTTGTTAATACATTTGCAGGCTGCCACAAATGCTGCTAAGAATGGTTCATCATTAAGTAAAAACAAAGAAGATGAAGATATAGCTAAAGGTAAATTGCTAGTCACAGGCTTGGGTTAGATTTTGTGCTCTAGAAGTTTTGTTAAAATGCACGGAAATAGGAAGTTGTACTCTCTTCTGCTGCATGAAATGGAAAGCAAGGGCACAGCAGGTTGGGAATTAGCATACTGTGTCATTCAAGGTGTTTTCTACATGGATGAGGATTTGGGGTAAGATGTATTCTTCCCCATCACATAGCCATTAACGTTGTTTTGTGACTGTTTTCTCTCCAGAGAGCTTGGTCTTTTCCCTTCTGCACTCACATGTTTTATTTTAGCCTTCGTTATTCTTTCTCCTCTTTCTTGGGTATAGTTACTGTTGTTCAGATGTCATAGTGAAAAATTTATCAGTATTTCTGATCGTGCTAACGATACTACTGACATTAGCAGTATGTGCACTGCTTCAAGTAGTGGCCTGTACCATGAAAAGCAGAGGGTTTTTTAAATGTTTCATAACTCGTGTGTGATCATGTCTTGACTTTTAATCCGGTTGCAGGGCAGAGTAAAGCTGTTGAAATGGGAAATACAGCTAGTAGTTTGGAGCAAAGATTTTAAATGTAAAATATTAGCGAAGCAGATAGGGACCATATTTATAATATAGCAATAAATACTTTTCTTTTTTTTATTAGGAAAGCAAACTGCCTTTGTATACAGGGATAAAATATAAAAACCTTTTCTTATTTTTTTCCCCCTTCCCTAACTGTAGCTATCGAATTGTCTTTGCAAGAGCAGAAACAGCAACAAATGGAAACTAAATCCTTGTACCCATCTGCAGAAATTCAGCAAAACACTCAGAACTCGAGGAAGGTGCGAGCTCTGTATGACTTTGAAGCTGTCGAGGACAATGAGCTCACCTTTAAAAGTGGAGAAATTATTTTTGTTTTGGATGACAGGTATAATATGCTCCAACGAAGGTGCCTTTATTCCAGAACTATTGTTTTCTTAGGATAGCAATTTTTTCCTCTGATGCTGCTTTTCCTCACAGAAATGTATATTGTCACTCTGGCCTCCCTCAAATCCCTTTATCTTCCACTGTTCTTTCCATATCCCAAGTTTTTGACCTCAGTCATTTTTGGTGCAGGGAGAACCTCACTGTATTATGTTGGGTATTTCATGGGGGGGTGTAGGTCCGATTTGTTTGTAGTTTTCAAGATAAATGTTAGCTGGTTATAACATATGTCGTAAGAATATACATACACATTACAGTTCTAAATTTCAGCTACTTCCAGAAATTGTTAAATCTCTGGCTATCAAGCATCACATTTGCTAAGAATAAAACTGAAGAAAAAATACTTAAGATAATTGTTGTTGTTATCACCGTTGCCCCAATGATAGCTAAGAAGCACAACTTCTTCCCTGCTAACGCTGTTCTAATTTAATAGACTGTGACAGGTCAATTATATTTCTAATGTTAGTCCCCGCTTGTGTACGTCTTGTAAACTTTTAGGTGAAGCTATAATGGGCTATCATCTAATCAATCTAATGAATTGAAGAGTTGTGTTAAATTTTGAGTGATTGCTATGGAATGATTTTACTTTCCCTGATCCCTCCTCTTCTCCTCCTCACCCCTCTGCCCTTTAACAGCTCCTTTGGCTTTGCTGCTGATCTCTGCAAATGTTCTCCTTTGCCTTTGTTATTGGATACACAGGGAAACGTATTAGATGTCACAAGTTTTCTGTCAAAAGTCCAAAATACATTGCTGACACTAGCGTTAATGTTCAGAGTTTTGTAATACATCTTTATTTCCCCAGTGACACCAATTGGTGGAAGGGTGAAAATCATAGAGGAGTAGGACTGTTTCCGTCTAATTTTGTGACTTCTGACTTAAATGTGGAACCTGAGGCAGGTAAGTTAGCTGCTGAAAGCTGGCAGGTTATTTTAGAAAGGTGGGCTTATGGGGGAAACTACTAGTTAGCCCATCAGCAAAATAATTTCCTGAAATCAGCCCAAGGAAACAATTGAAAGAGAAATCCTGCCCTTGTTTCAAACAGGCAAGCATATGCCACCGGTGTAGCTCACTTCAACGATTTCTATCTTCTGATTCTCTTCTGAGGTGTTACCTGTTTCCTGTTACAGAAATTCGGTTCAATTTAACATAATTCTTTGGCGGTAACATATTACATATGAATCCAGTAACTTGCCATTTAAAATGTCAAAGTCTCTTCTCAGACATCATACCTAGTGTAGAATAACACTCATACCCGTGTCAGTGGTTTGTAAGTGTCACACTGTTCGCTTTATTCGTGCTCATGATACCAAAATAAATGTTAACACTTACGACTTGGCTTAAAGTAACTGTACGTGTGTTGGAGGTGGTTTTAGATGCTAGTATGACTCAAGAGTCTTTCCCTTGCTGGGCCTAGGTTCATAGTCGGGCTAACAGCCCGAAGGAAGCAGCTTGGCAGAACGTTTTCTAGGCAAACCCATTTTCCCTTCTCCAGCAGCTAGGTGCGTCGCTGCTTAAAGTACTTATTCAAATTTCTCTCTCATTTAAAGGTCTGGTGGCAAGCAAGGAGAAAAAGTGTATTTTAAGTTAGCGTAGAAACACAGCTGCAGAAAAGAAACTAATGTTTGTTCTTTCAGCAACTGTGGATCAAAATTCTGTTCCTGAGGATACTACAGAAGAAATTAAGAAAGCAGAACCTGAGCCGGTTTATATAGATGAGGTATGCAGTCACTTTCAATGTAAAAAATTGCTGAAATTTTACATTGGTTGCAACATTCTTTTGTTACTGAATGTTAGCAGATAGTTGTTTTTCTATAAAGAACTTTTTTCTCATTTGAAAATTAAAACAGTCTCTGCCATGCTTCAAAAATAGTTGTTCTTAATCCTCTCTTCACCTTTCAGGATAAAATGGATAAAACTCTGCAGGTACTTCAGAGTATAGATCCTACAGATTTAAAGCTTGATTCTCCAGATCTTCTAGACTCAGAAGGTACTTTGAGCACTGTTAGTCAGTTTTTGTATTTCTTGTCGCAATTACCTGTTGTGGATTGAGCTGGTAATTCTGTTGCATTTATTTTAAGCTTAGAGAACCGTGGTCTGTACTAATAGTGTGCTGTAGAATAGCTTATTTCACAGTGGGAGTGTGGGGCTGTACGTATAACTCTAAATTTTCTAATAGTTGCCAAGCCAACTCCATGTTTAGCAGAGTACTTTGCATAACTTGCAGCTAGCATACAATGCCTCATCTTTGCAAGATCCATCCGCACATAAAGACTCTGCTTGAAATAAGCGATTAATTTTGTGTCAAAATTTCTCAAAGTACTGCTGGCTAGGAGGGGAGGGGAAATTCAGTTCACTTAAGAGCCAATTAGTTCAAGGTGTGTAAGAACAATTGAGCGTACATTAAAAAAGCAGAGTTCCTGGGGGGGGGAAAGGGAAGGTAAAGGAACCTGTGCAGTACAACAGACGTAGATAGATTCCTAGGCAGTCTAGGTTGGATATTCCGGTAGGAGATGACAGTTATAGGTGTTGCACAGTGCAAGCAGAAACACCAAACTTTCCATCTTTTTATCGGTAGTCTTTTGTTTGAGAGGGTAGAAGGAAAGAGGGGAGAGGATGACAAAGCAGAACAACCAAAGTATTTTTCCTGTCTCTTCGGGTTGGAGGAATGGGACGCACATGATAACTCGGTGCGCTCTCCAGTTCTGTGTGCTATTGTAGCGTACTTGGATAAAGTATTTTTTGGCTGCATTTAAACTTTTAATTGTGCAAGATATTAACTAGCTTGACACTTTTGTCTTCACAGATATTTGTCAACAGATGGGTCCAATGATAGATGAAAAACTAGAAGAGATAGATAGGTGAGCCATAACGGAGCTTCTGCATTATTTATTATGATTTACTTTAAACTGTGCAGTTGTATTTAACTATTTTTTTTGGTTCTTTCTCTTTCATTTCCCAAGCTAGAAAATCTTGCGAGAGAGAAATTTTGACAATTCTACCTTTATTTTTTAACACTTAGGTACCGAGGTCCCAGTGTGTGTACTAAGATTTGATTGCTGCTCTCCAGAACGCACTGCATAGGTTACTGGGTGCATTTGATATTAGCGCTTTTTGGCTGTAGCCTTTGCGCTCTGTCTAGAGCTTGGTATTTTCACTCTGCTGCTCTCTGTCCTCCATGACAGGAAAAATCTCTTCAGCGCTCTCTTCACCTCTTCCCCCTGAGACTTCTAGGGACGTTTGAAGGTGCAAAGAAAACTAACACCTGTGGAGTTGCTTACCTTGTTGCAGCTAGGGAAGAATAGTTGTTCACCACTTGGACTCTCCTTCCGGTCCCGTTGGTGTAAGAAACAGAGGGGTGTAAGAAACAGAATGGCAATTTTAGAATATAAATGTGTAAGAAATTGACCATCCTCGTTTTAAGGTGTATTTTTTTTCTTGCATATTCAGAACTGCTTAATGAACTGCTCTTTTACCATCTAACACGAGTTGTTAGAGAAACAGTGTTTGCATATATTTGTTTTGAAACAGAAAACATTCGGAATTATCGGAATTGAATGTGAAAGTTCTAGAAGCTCTGGAGCTCTATAACAAACTGATGAATGAAACACCGATGTATTCAGCCTACTCAAAACTCCACCATCCTGCACAATACCCACCTACATCTTCTGGTGTTTCAGTGCAGGTCAGTATCCCTTTCTGGAAATAGAGACTTTCCTAATATAGATTTCTATTTAAAAAGATGACAGCAAAAATGAAGTGTACGCTTGCTTGCTAGCCTACGAACAATCTGACATTGCCTGGTGACTTTTTATAGCCTTTAGAATAAAATATCGTTTACGCAGTAGAACAGAGTGCTTCAATTTGCAGTTACCTGCTTGTACAATAAGGTATGGTTGTTAATTTTGCTCTACTTAACAGAAAGATACTCTTTTGAAAATACTAAAAGATTCCTTCCCTGATTAATTTTTTTACCCTTAGAATTGTGTGTTTCAGCAGCTTGGTGGATATTCTTGCTGTTAGTCATGTCCTCAGCCTTAAAGTAAAACGTTACCCTCTTATCTAATAGGAGGGATGTGAGTGAACTTTAATATTAGTGCATTAATCATGAGTGCGGTGTACTTTTTCTAAATGTAGAAACACTAGTCTGGTTTTAGCTCTCTTTTTGTTCTTAAGAAACGAACATGTTGTATTAGGGGGTGTAGTTGCTCATAACTGTTTTACAGTATGTCTAATGTGCCATATTGATGTTTTAAGGAAACAAAAATGGAGGAGAAAGAGATATTTTTTTAAAGATACTTTTTGGGGAAAGCATCAAATGAGTGATTTTACTTTAAGTGAATTTTACTTTAATGTTAATTGTTCAGTGGGAAAAGAATAGTTGCCATAGCAACTGCTAGATCTGAAAATATGTCAGTTAAAAGTAATTTCATGTCCTTAACTGCTGGTAGCGATGGAAAATTCATTATACTTGGAGGTTAAAAAGTAATTTAAGCCAAAAGGCAACTGGAGTTTACTGTTTCTTCCAAGATGCATGCTTCCAGCTTCCAGTGGTGAAAAATACCAGATAATGCTAACCACGCTGAGCTTAGCGCAAAACCGGCGAGCAGCATAGACCTCTGTAGACTAAGCATGTTATACAACCTCTTCTCTCTGAGTTTTAGGTAAAGACTTGCATTATCTTAAACCTGAATAAAGGTTTTCCTTTTGTTTTGTGTTATAGTCTTAAAATATTCTTGTGTTTTAATTTCCAAAATGTGTTAAATAACAAATCTTGTATGGTGCCCATCTTCCAGCTCAAGTCTGTGCCTCAAAGCATGTAAGGAATGAACATCTTAAAGACGAGGCAAATTAGAGTAAAAGAAATAAGGTTTCTGGGAGAGCCAGAGGTCTTGAACCTTTTGTGTCATGTACTTCTTTCAGATATTAAGCACTGACCTTGTTAACAGTGCGTTTCTGATGAAATAAAGGATGCCTATGTAAAGCGTGTTACGAGAAGTTACATGTTTTGGTTTTAGAACCTTGTTGGAAAAATCAAGGGATGTTCATTCAGCTTTTGAACCCTAACATATTTGTTCATTGTAGTGGTGTTCTGTGCCATATTTGCTGCTACTTAATTGAAAATAAAAGGTATACAATGTTTTTTTTTATTATTATTTACAGTCATATCCCGTACAGCCACCTAGTGGAAACTACATGATCCAGGGTGTTCACCAAGTCACCATTTCCCCAGGTTATAGTCTCGGACCGGATCAGATGGGGCAGTTGAGGTCTCTGCCTCAAAGTATGAATTCTTCTGGAGCAACTCAGCCAGCTCAAGCTGCGTATTTAAGGTATCGCTTCGGCAAACTATTAAATCACTTTCTTCTTGATGGTAATCTTAATACTTTGTCTAGAGGTTGTGTGTTCTTGGGATATGTACAATGGCACGTGATACTGTTTGATCATTTTGAAAACACACAGATCGCTTTTGGACTAAGCAATATTCTTATTTGCAAATCTGCTTATGAGATAAATAGACGTGAACTTGTCAGAATTAGATTTGGTTTGTTTTGTTACAGCCCAGGACCGGATTCTGTGTTAAACCAGACGTACGTGAACCAGACCCCTGGCCTTCCGTCGGCTGCCAGCGCAGCTGCTTACACCCAGCAGCAGATGGGGATGTCAGTGGATATGTCGGCGTACCAGAACAACACGTCGAGTTTGCCTCAAGGACCAGGTTATCCCATGGCAGTTCCTGCTCATTCCGTTCTACAGCAACAAACAAATTACCATCAACAGCCTCTCCTTTAAAAACAAACCAGCTCGTATTTCTCAATTAATGAATAAAGGTTGCCTGACCTAATGATTTCTATGAATACCTGTCACGGATATCAAAATACATTTTCCTTTTAAATAACCCAACTTACTGCATTAGGGTGATGCCAAGTAAAAGTACGCATCAGACCTGATTGTTAAGCATTTGCATAAAGATAGCTTGAACTAGATTAGCTGATGGTTTAAAATTAATTTCAGATTACTTTGAGCCCTTATTTCAGTGGTTTCAAGAAACACCACTTGTGAAACTTAAAGTACTGTCCAAAAATAATTTTTTTTTTAAAGGTGTTTCTGAAAACTTGAGGATGCTTAATCATTGTCGTGCATTGCTCTTGTTATGCCTTGCCTCCTCTGGTATCTTACTATCCAAGTGGCTTTACAGAATCTCTGCTGACTTAGACACCACCTTCTCTCTGCGCTGCTGTAGTGAGCTGTGCAGGATGATGTGCACCGCACAATTGGAACAACTGCACGAGCTCGGCAGATGAGAGAGGGAAGAGAAAATGATTTGATATTGTGACAGTGAGGACCGCGTACCTACAGAAACGTGAGAAATGAGATTTGTACAGTGCTGCCTGTTAGATTTTGGGAAACCACAGAGACGTCCTGATGTGTTTCTCTTGAAGAAAACAGGTGGAGCCTTGCTAGAACTCGCTCGTGTCTTTTGGCGGAGGTGGTACTGCAAGCACAAGTCTCCTCTGCGAGGGCAGGCAAGGGCTGCTCCCAGCTGACTGTGTGGGCACTCTGTGGATACAAGGTGCTGAGCCAGAAACTTCTACAGAATCTCTTTTCTTTTCCTTTTTGGATGTATTTAGAAGTGAAGGAGTATTGTGGTTCCTTGTGGTAGAGGAGGGGCTCAAGAATGTTTGAAGCTTAAGACTGTGAGAATCTGCCTCGTTCCCTTTCCAGTGGGGAGCTGAGTGGAACAGGAATCATCTTTATGGGACCAGGGGGTTCTTGCCTCTCTTGGATTTCCTTTCTCTGCCACCATTTCCATGTCTAATTAAATACCAATTACAGTCGGAGAAACTCTTTAACCATTTGGAACAGGTGTATTTAATGCACTATCCGTATAGGCAGAATACACGTGCTTTGTGAGTGGGATTGTGCTCCTCCTTTAATACAAGGAGTGGTTGCGTATCGAAAAATGACAGACGTGTCTTTAGAAAAGGAATTGCCTGGGAACTGTGGAAGCGTAGCATTTGGTGGCTAAGAAAAGAAATCTAAGATTTTCTTCCCTGATGCACTTTTTTAATGGGTGGGGTTTGTACAAGAGGAGCAGAGGAGCTGAATTATCTTTCAGGAATGTGGGATTTCTTTATTTTATTGCTTCAGCCTCTGAAAAAAATCACTTCATTCTCCTCCTATATACCTACTCACTTTAGCATGGTCATGTTTATATCTATTTTAACAATTTTATGATGAGAAGTAATCTTTAGATTGGGAAAATAATGGAAGTAGATCACTGATTAAAACATCTTAATTAAATGCATGAAACTCCCGAATGTCTAAATAAGTACGTTTGGTGTATAAATTCTCTACTGAATGCGAAGTATCAGATTGCAGACTGTTGTTGAGTAATAAAAGACACCCTTCACTCAGCGCCACCTCCATTTCTTTTACATTTGATTTAATTATTTAGTATCATGACCTTATTCATTTGCAGCCTCATCCTTATGCAATAAGGTATTCAGTACCTGCTCTTTAAATCGTTTTTTTTTTTAATTTAAATTTGTGCAATTGGAAGGAAGCTTTTGCCTTTCCTCTTGACATGACTTTGTCTTTATCCTTCCCCTTCAAGTAGCGTAGTATAAATAACACATGTTGCAATACTGAAGTATTTTGATAACTTGTTCCTTGCGTTCTTTAAGGAGAATAATTACTTTCAATGCTGCTGTTCAACATTTTTATTGTTTGGTTGTTGGGGTTTTTTTTTTTGTAAGAGTTTACTTTGTTCCAAGTTGGTATGTGGTGAAACTAAACCTTGCTGGCATTTACGTAGCTTCTCCATGCTGGTTAGTAAATTGAGATTAAGGTAGGTATTTTTTTTTGGATTCGAAACTTTGGTCCAGCAGAAATACTGAGTATCTTAAATTGAGATGGCTAGACAGATGTGATTTGATTATGTTCAGTTAATTATTAAATATAAATAATGTATATACTCATTTGTCTGAGATTTTCTACACAGCTACATATATGCACACTGTTAAAGCCTGAAATTTTATAAAAGCAGGATTTGTCATTCTGTCGTCTTTTTTTTTTCCTAATTCTGTGATATGCAACTTGTAGATAGTGTAAAATAATTTAATTATTATTAAACTAGTGTATTTAGAGGGTTTTGGTGTTAATAGGGTCGTTTTTTTCTCTTCATACTTCTATACATTATCATATTTATTTTTAAGGCCTGATTGTAACCGAACATGCTGCCAAAGGATTTCTCTAACTTCAGATTTCTACATTAGGTTTCTACCTACTGTTTTATATCAGGAATCAATGGTAGATAACTTCTGCTTTTTCATATAAACTCGTAATGGTTAACATAGAAATCTCTGCAACTTTATAATGAGAATTTTATTGTAATATATTTGTTTCGTGGGTGTTGAAAATATCAATACTAGATAAATTTTCTTCTAGTATGAGTTGGCAACCTATTATGTCTAAGTTAGAGTCAGCTGAAAGCAACAATTGAATTTGTCTGTAAAATCACCGTGCAGAGACGTGTTTTGAGAAATTGTGGTCTTTCATACAGCCTTGATGTGACAAATGCATTGTCTATTTAATTTGGTACTGAAATTACAATGTTAAAAGATCAGATTGTTTCTGTAACAAGTAAATGTTAAAAATAACGTTCGGTGTTTGTTTTACTTTAGGTTTTGTTCATAGATGTTGGTGGACTTGTGGAACAGTGTAATTCTTTTGAAGGCTGTCCCTTAGAGAGGGGAGCTGAGGGGAACATGGCTGCAGCTGCAATCTCTTACAGGAATTATTTTCTGATAGGAAGCTATTTTTTTTTGTTATTTTAATCTATGCATCTTTTCTAAGAAATAATAGGCACTACTCTTGCTTACGTTGAACACTGTGATGTGTCTGTTGAATGAATGAATAACTTTTTAGAATTTATGGCTCTTACCAGTTAAATTTTACATGAAGCTGACTCAAACTGTTTTGAATTGGTGAAAATGAAAAAGGAAGGAAAAGAAATAGAGCTGGGGCAGGTTCTGAGCTCTCGCAGCTCTGTTCCCCTCACGGGCACTGTAACATCTTGTGGTCGGCCCGCGAGCGACCTGGCCACCAACGGGTGGCATGCCTGGACTTGGAATTCAGAACAAGGTTCCGCTTCTGTTTTGAGGGGGGTTTCGGGTGCACGTGTACTGGTTAATAGATGTCTCGCAGTTCTTACAGAAAATTGTCTTAAAGAGTTTGCAGTATTAAGAAGAGGGGATCTGTTTTATTGGAATATGCACTTGGCCGCCTGTCTGCAATACGTGTGCATTGCCTTGTGTGAATAAAACAAAGTTTGTTTCACAGACATGGGTGAAGAGTCTTCTGTTTATGGCGTAGTGCAGTCCTTGCCGGAAAGGTAAGGCAGAAGCTCCGTGAGTCGTGTGAACGTCCCTGCTGCGGCCCTCCCCTCCCCTGCGGGAGCCCGTCCTGGGCTAGCACACCCGCAGGCTCGGCCACCAGCCCGGCTGCCTCCAGCTCATCGTGTTCCCACGCGCTGTCAGCAAAGCCAGAGCTCTGCAAGGGACTGTTATTTCATAGCCGTGCCGCACTTCACCTCTGATGAGCTCCTCTAATTGGGAACCAGCGCTCCGTTGCCTGAAGTGCCTGCGAGCGAGGCTCGGTAGGGTAGCGAGAGAACGCTGCTGCCGATCCGCTGTTAACTGTTGGGGAATTGAAGAGAATAATCTTACACGCGGTGCTAATATACTTGGCCACAAATGATCAGAAAGGTGTTTCTACAGAAAGCAAATATACTGCAAAAACACTTTTCTTATCATTTGTGGAAAACAAATATACTTCTCTTTAAATTTGGTTGTATTACATGTCTTAATTAAGAGCTATGATTGCTTATGACTTGTTACAGGTTTTCACAAAAACTAAACAAATTACCCAGAGACTTCTAGCTTATCCAAAATAACAATAAATCCTTGTGCTTTAAAGATACCTTCTGCTAGTGCTGTGAATGGACACCAAAAAAATGTGAGCATGGACATACCTAAGAACAACTCCATTAATTGTTATTTAGACATAAATCACTGCATTGCATCATTCATTTACAGCCCTTTCAAGTCCACTGACCCCAGCAGGTTGATCTCTGGTGACTTCAGGCTGCAAATCTAAATCTTACAAAGCCCTTACAAAGCCAAGCATTTACTGAATTACTGGCAAATGCTTCTTTGTTTTTAATTTTGAGTCTCAACCTAAGCGTTGCTACCTCTCGTTAAAGAGAGACAATGATGTGTTAGTTTTCGGGACGGTATCTTTACTTGGGAAGTCAGTCACGCCGAGATCAATGTTTAAAGAAAAGTATCCTTCCTAGTACCAGTTCAATGATTAAACTGAATTTAAAAATAATCTAATTTAGACTACAGCATTCATGACCCACATTTATCTTTGATGAAACCAGGCTGCCTAATTTCATCCAAGGAATTAAAAAAATCTGCAGTCTGTGTCTATGGTAAGAGAGAAAGAAATGTTTGCTCTGATGTGCTTTGGACCTTCACCAGAGGGGGTTGTGTGTGTGTGTGTGTGTGTGTGTGTGTTCAGGGCTTTCTGGTGTAAAAAGTGAGATCAGATCAAAGATGCACACGTTTCTGCTCTTACTCATTTCAGTGGGAGGTGCAATGTGCCTGCAGTTAAAGCACAGGAGTGGGAAGCAGGAAATCCAGGTCCTGCTTCCAATTCTTCCCCAGATTTCCTCTTTAACTTCAAACAAATCACTCAATCTCCTGATTTAGCTTTTTTCCCCTCATGCCCTGAAAATAATAGCACTCTTCAGGACTGGTAATTGATGCAAATTAATGCTGATCAATACTCACAAGTGTTGGGTAACACCGTGGTTTATGTAGTTATGGCACTTGTGGCTCAGTTTCACCTTGAGGAGGTTAAACCGGGCTCAGAGGTGGTATTTGCCCATAGGATCTCCAATCCGCCACAGTCCCATGTGGGATGCAGCCAGCTGGGATGGGGGATGAGGGGGACGCGTGCACACCGAGGGAG